CAATCTTGTTTGGTGCTTTCTTCTGGAGGAAAACCAAACAAGCTTAATTTTCCTTCACAACTGAAAAATCACTTTGTTGGCAACAACTTCCAAAGTCGGCCGTGTTGTACTGCGCTGAGCGGTATAGAAAGACAGAGCGTAACGGTTGGAGGAGGATGACTATATATCGAAAACTGGCGTGTTCAGACTAGTGAAAGAAGTTCACCTCATTATTTGAAACTTTGTCCACTTTCAACACCAATATCCAACATTTTAACATTAAAGATATGACAGAAAATACGGAAAAGCATAATAGGTCATCTTTAACACCCCTTGTTAGACACCCCCCCGTTTGCACTGGTACATCAATCATTGTACTTTCTGCCTGTGTGGCTACTTGATATGCTGAGGAACTGATCTGTACACATCATGTATAGTATCTCACAAAAGTGAGTACACCCCTGACATTGTTGTAAATATTTGATTACATATTATCATGTGACAACACTGAAGACATGACACTTTGCTCCAGTGTAAAGTAGTGAGTGTGCAGCTTGTATAACAGTGTAAATTTTCTGTCACCTCAACACTAATGAGTCACATGACACCAGGGAGGGAAAACGGCTAATTGGGCCCAATTTGGACATTTTCACTTAGGGCGTCACTTTTGTTGCCAGCGGTTTAATGGCTGCATTGGAGCAAAGTGTCATTTCTTCAGTGTTGTCGCATGAAAAGATAGAATTGGATATTTACAAAAATGTGAGGGGTGTACTCACTTTTGTTGCCAGCTGTTTAGACATTAACAGCTGTGTGATGTGTTATTTTGAGGGGGCAGCAAATTTACACTGTTATACAAGCTGAACACTACTTTACACTGGAGCAAAGTGTCGTTTCTTCAGTGTTTTGTGAGATACTGTATATTCACTGTACACACTCTCACATGCAAGCGTTTCCGCAGTAAGTGTGGAACTAAGCGACCATGCTATACCAAAACAATCACCACCAACACTGTTTCAGGAGTCTCGTGCAGCTACAGGCAGCTCCTCCACCTAGACAGAAAAGGTACAAGCTCGTGTGCAGGGTGACAGGTGTAGCTCGTGTGCAGGTAGGCGACTCCCTCGAGGACACTCTGGCAGGATGTGTGAAATCTGATGGACCCATGTGGTTGTTGGTGTTGAACATGTGACCTGTCATTTCTCTAACTGCTCCTGTAATTACTGGGGCAGCTTACCAGCTCTCCTTTCTGTGCAGCCGTGAGCATCTGGCACCAGCGATTGTTCAACTTCATTATATTCCTTCTGATAGCACAGTGCAACGTCTGAGTGAAATTCAATCCAAGTAATGCGTTAACAAATTTGCACTTAGAGCATTTTTCCCGTGGAATCAAACAAGAAACATTTTGTCTGAGCTTTGACAGAAACAAATATGCATCATTCATCAAACGTGTTTTGGCTCAGCGAGTGTCCTTGAGTGCTGGACTTGCTCTCTAAACGTCACTCTGGATGAGCCCAGTCTGTCTTGTTTTTGTAACTTTATGGAGGATTTATTTTTATTTATTTTAGCGAAGGTCGTTTTTTTCATCTTTCCAACCGCGTAACGTGTCAGGGAGGTGCTGAGACGCAAAGGCTGCTGCATGAAATGATAGGTCATGAAAGGCCACATCTGGACTCGCCGCCTCTGCACAGTGAGACTCTGTGACGTAGTTTACCGTTTTTACCACGCTGCATAACAAACCCCTCACACGCACATACCTTTCATAAGTGAAGAAGAGTTTTTTGGTGGGTCAGGACATGCTGAACCAGCTGTCTATTGGCCTCCACCTGCCTGCAGTGGTTTCTGACGTCCTCTGCTCTCCTGAGGTGAGTCCTGGTGCAGGAATTGCAACAGTTAGCAAGATAGTGTTGGAGACATTGCTAGTTTGGAAGTGCAGGATTCTGGGGATTAGGAAATGCTACTGCAGGAAGCTAGACTACATCCAGTGTTGGAGGAGGAATTGTGATTATTTCCCCAATATAAAGTAATACTGCCATAATCTAAAAAGGCTCAATTACAAGTGAGCGTTGCTTTAAAAACTGTACTTACGCCTTAAGTATCAAAAGTAAAAGTACTTGTGCAAAAAATGACACCATCAGTAGTACATTATTATGCATGAGATTAGTCGTTTGATAATGCTGAATTATCATTCACACAACAAACAATAAGCAGAATTTTACTGTGTAGCTGCTCCAGGTTTCAGCTTCTCAGGCCTGACAGAATAAATCTGAGGGAATGTGAGATGATTAAGAAGAAAAAAAGTTCGGCCACCCAAATATGTTTTTCTCCAATCACAGATATCTGAAACATAGACACTGAACTTAAACTAATTCTAAGATCCAGAGGCGTCTCTAGAAGAAAGCAGGAGGGAATCTGCAGGATGCTGGTGGTTTTATTTGTGAACAGTAACTGTACTCAGGACATCTGCAGGGATCCACATGGATTTATTCTAAATGCAGAGAGTATGGCCGACCAGTAAGAAAAGACTTGGATGCATTAACACAAATGTGTCTCTGGAGACGTCCCCTTCTCCTCAGTCAAACCCCACTCTGATCCAGCTCTTTCAATATCTAGCAGACATCCTCTTTTCTTACTTGTAGGCCACACTCTTTACATAAAAACAACGGCTTTACCTCGCTGATCATCCTAAAACACACTTCATTCAAACTGGACAGACACTGTTCCGACAATCTCCAACTCCGGTGGGTCGAAATAAATCCTTAATTCAGCGAGCAAGATGTGAAAAGAAACAGCCGTTTTATTGTTTTTCTCTAAGCAAACGCTTCCGCAGCGATGGACTAACATGCACTGAAAATAGTTGTTTGCTGCTCTATTAATGTCGTGTACAGAACCTTAAACCAGCTGAGGAATTCACTCGCACAGAGAATAATGTGCAGAGAACATCATCTGGATCACACTGCGTAATACCAAACATGAGATTTGACTCTGTGTTATTGCTCTGCAACATTATCTACGCACGCGTAGGCTGCATGCTGGTTTGACTCACAACGTTAAACGCTCTGAATGTCTTCATGACTTTTTGGAAAGTTTACAAAGTTATAATCAATATGTGGGGATAGTCCACCGCTTTTTGTTTCATCCTTTTACTGTCATGTTTTTTGGGTTGAAGTGCTATTATTTCCTGTTTTATTTTGTGTTTTTCCTCTTATTTTCCTGTTTTTTCCCCCTGTGTTTCCTGTTTTACTTTGGTATTTTACTCTCATCTCGTTTCGGTTCGCTTCACTTCCCCCTTGTGTGATGGTTTGATTCAGTTCACCTGTGTCTCATCATCTTGTCCTCACTCTTCCCCTCTATCGTTGAGTGGGTTCCCTGTGGACCCTCTGCACTGAACCTGCTCTGCAACAGATCACCGGCTATACTGCTAGCAGTAGTTGTGATATTTCTTTTGTGTAGTTTCTCTATTGAGGGAAAGCTACAGCATACAATAAGATTTTAGACTAAATGTGTTTGGGGAAGGTCTCTGTCAACATGACATTTCCCCCGTGCGAAAAGCAACATCCACGAAATGCCTTTCTGATTTTGGTGGGTTGACCGGCGTGGGGCTGTGTGGATGCAAGGCTCAGGTGTCCTCATGGTCACAGTTATAGATCCACTGACTAAAACTTCAGAAAGAGAGCAGGACCGTGAACTTTAACTTCTTCACCTAAAAGTTTACTGTTGTGTCCCCGTGCTGACCGCAGGGAATATTACCAATCAATTGTAATAAACTATTTGGGGTATTAAAGTAGTGGCTTTGTCCTCGGTGACAGACAGATGGCAGATCTCAGTTTCCCTGCAGCTGAATGGCAATAAAGAAGCTGAGTGAAGAACCTGAGCAGATGCAGTCATCTGGCACACACACGTCAGCCCTAAAACAAATCCAGATCAATTAAAACCTGAATGTTTTGCAACATTATAGAAAAATATGGCAAACATTAATGACGACAACTGATTCACATCGCTGCTCTTTTTACGTCCGTCTGAAAGAGGAGCCCCTCTCTTTTCACAGTCATTATTCAGATCAGTCTTCAGACTTTCACTGGATTTTAACTCCAGGAGCAGAATGTGAAGGAGCACCGCACCGGGCCGCATTCCAACACCCTCCCTCTCATTCAGTCAAGCCTGGCTTTACTGACGACATCTGTCTTCTTGTCATATGAAATTGTACGTGTGTGAGGTTGTGAAAGCTGTGAAATCAATCATCAGTCAGTCTTGTGATCAGCAGCCTCGGTCCCTGTGCGTTGTGTTGACACTGACTTTATTTCCTCCTTGTTTGTCACTGATGTTTGTGTAATGAAATAACCACAAAATCAATCAGCCACAGACGGACAGGTGTGTGTCACAGTGTGACATCACTCAGGTCTGACTCTCTGCTGGAGGAAGTGAGGATTCCTTGGTGTTTCCTGTCCTTCCGGTCTGTGGCACCAATTTCTTATAATCTTTAATCAGCACCAAGATGCATCGTAAAACGTTTCCACTTTCTGCTCTTAACACACCTTCACGCCGGGCTAACTCTCACCGGTTAACGGCCATGAAGCTCCAGAATTTACTGGCGGCCAAGCTCAGGTTGTTTTTAATAACAGACTTTGACAGGTTGTTTCTCACTGGGAGCTGAAAGCGCTTCTTCTAGCTCACATCTTTCACACAGCATGAAGGTAGGAACCAAAATAATCTGCTCTGAACCAACAAATGATAATGAAATAATTACTGTGTGTACTAGCAAACTTAATTCTGCAGGTTCAACTTCTATTATATCACTTCTACTGTCACACACATCCTACCACCACATACTGCACAGTTTTAAAAGCAACATCAATTATAGTATCATGATCTTACAGGTTCCCAAAAATCTGTTTACAGTAACTATGATTACTTTCTCTGTCACAGACTTTTGAAACATGTCATCAGCTCAAAATCAGGATTGTAAGCAGGCATGGGGTGTTGATTGATTACACAGTGTTTGTATTGTGAGCTGTTAAAGGGGGCCTGTGGGTCTCCGGGTTCATCTATGGAAACATGAAACAACGCATCTTGTCCTTCTGAATGCAGTCATTCATAATAATAATAATAATAATAATAAAACAGAGTTTTGCACATGTGTTTTCAGTGTCCCTGCGCATATTGTCTCAGCAGTGGAAACCTCAGACTGATAATTACACGAACGCGCGTGGGTGGAGTGTGCGCGTGTGACTGCGTGTGTGTAGGAGCGAGGGTTGGTGGAGAGGGAGAGAGGGAGCAGTGCTCTGTGAGGAGACAGCAGATCTCGCACTTGTCCTCGCGATTCGGACAGTTTCGGCGCAGGAAATACTGGACACCACGAACCTGCACTTTTCTGGCTCTTGCACGCGCAGCTCGTGGTTCCAGGTGGTCGTGGACCCGGTCCGGGGAGGCATGAGGAGCCTGCCACAGAAGGCTCGGCTTCTCAGCAGAGTTATTCCGCGCACTCTCCGGCGCTTGCGGTGCCGTTTTGACGCCTTCTCCTCTCCGTCCTCACACCTTGTTTCCAGGCTCGAGGGAAGTATTGAACCCCGCCTGACGCGTCTCCTCAGGTGTGACCACATTTATTATTATTTATTTATTTAAGTATGACATCAGCGCCGAGCGTAGGCTGGGTTCTTCACCTCTCCAAAGGCGGAATACCGGGATAGCCTGCAGGAGTTAACGGAGTGCTTCTTTTTTCCTTCCTCGCAGCCCTTCATGAACAACGACCGGTGGTGTTCTTCTTTCTTCTTCCTTCCCTTCCCTCTGAAATCTCTGAATGGGTGCTCAAGCAACAAGCGGCCGCGGCTGTGTGCAGCGGCAGCAGCTCTGCGCACACTTCAGAGGGATAACGCTGTGGTGAATCCGTCGCTGAGGTTGGTTTGTATGTTGGTGTGTACCTGCGGGATTACTGTAGTCTAATAACCTTTTTATTTTTGAGTAAACGGGTGATTTTCTCTTCTGGATCGAGGACAAGAATGAACTCGGGTGTTGGATTCGTAAAACTATCCTAAAAAGTGCCTTGCGCCTCGCGGTGCTTCTACATTTTTCCAGTCGGAGTCTGTGGCGGAGCCGCTGTGATTTAACTCTTCGTGGGCAGGAACCCGGATCACACCATGGGCAGACACTCTAACAACCTCCCCCCGATAAAACCGGGTTTTACATTCCGGGTGTTGTGGATGGTTCAAGCTTTCCTGGACCTGGCCGGCTCCCAAGAGATTTACGCGCCGCACTCGATCCGGGTGGAAGGCGACGTGACGCTGGGGGGGCTCTTCCCCGTCCACGCCAGGGGGGTCCCGGGGATGCCGTGCGGGGACATCAAAAAGGAAAACGGCATCCACCGGCTGGAGGCGATGATGTACGCCCTAGACCAGATTAACGGCGACGACGAGCTGTTGCCCAACGTCACCCTGGGCGCCCGGATCCTGGACACCTGCTCCCGGGACACGTACGCGCTGGAGCAGTCGCTGACGTTCGTCCAAGCGCTCATCCAGAAGGACACGTCGGACGTGAGGTGCACCAATGGGGAGCCGCCGGTGTTTGTCAAGCCCGAGAAAGTTGTCGGGGTCATAGGAGCGTCGGCCAGCTCGGTGTCCATCATGGTGGCCAACATACTGCGCCTCTTTCAGGTAGGGGCTGCCGCGCTCATTCGCCGGGGTGGAACTCACAGCACCCTGATGACTTATTTACAGCATTATCATTAATGTCAGCCACATGCTTCTTATGTAACTGCCCCCCCATCTCAGCTGCAGCAGGCCTCTTCCCTCCCTCACAGTCTCCACTACCTGCAGATATTTCTTTCCTCTCCCAGATCCACTCTGCAAGGGATTCCTCCACAACAAAGTCCCCTCCCCTTTTTGCATGCCAGACATGTGGGCTTGGAACACCCTGACAGTCATGTGTGGTGAGACTGTGGGTCCGGCTCAAGTAGCCACAGTGGGCGAGGTGGCAGGTTTCACACTAGAAGTACATTAGCTCTCTGCTACCTGGACTCCATCAGTGGTTGGAGCTGTGGTCTTCTTGCTTTGCTTTCTTTGCGAGACCCGTGCCTATACTGCACAGAGGAAAGAGGAACCATTATCAGTTCTGAATGAGTTTCCTCTGACAAATATCTGCACGTTCCTGTTGCTGTGAGATTGACCTGCTCGGGAAATGTTCCCGTAGTGCTGTGAGGTCGGTGAGAATGTGCGCAGTGTTTCGGTCGGAGGTTTGTGGCCTGTTGATGTTGCTGGAACAGGATTAACAGGTTGATTTTTAAAAGGCTGGTGTTGTTGCCGGTTTGGCTCCTGATTGATTAGAGCTCAAACCAGCCTTCTATTTGAATGTCGTCTCCCCCCAGTTTGGTGTCTAAAAGGTGTTCCAGCATCACTGCAGTGTATAACTTAAAGGCTGTGTGTGACAGGTGTCAGTCTGTTGAGCTGGAAGCGATGTTTTCACGTTGCCCTCTTGGCCAGCTGTCTCTGCTGAAAGAGATTTTTAATCTCAGCCAGATTTTTTTTTTACAACATGAAATGAAAATAAAGACATTAGAGTAAGTCAATTCACAGCTGATCCACACTTCCTGAAGGTTTTGTGTGTGTGTGGGGGGGGGGGGGGGGGGGGTCTGAACTGGGTTTAGATTGGATTTGAAGACAGGGTAAGCATAGAAAGAGATGCATGATACAAGAGTGTGTGTGTGAGAGAGAGAGAGACAGATGCACACTGAGTGAAGTGGGCGAGAGACAGAGTGATGACGTAGAGAGAGAGAGAGAGGGAGGTGTGGTGCTGAAAGAACAGCTCCTCTGGTTTTTCTGCTGCGAGCTGAACAAATCATCCTTTTCTCCTCTGTTCTGCTGAAACCCTCACGGCCCGTCACAGTCCTAATACGTCCCACAGTTAGAGGCGCTTTCATTTCAGTAAAAGACCTCAAACAATCCAGTCTATCTCTGAAGCTCCTAATATCTGTCCTTATTATGTTAAAGACCTTCGATACCATGAAATGCAGCTTTTAAAGAGTCATTTAACACAAAACCCATTCGGTTTATGGAGTTAGTGGATAACATGTATTGCCTCTCTGTTACGCTGTCGGTTGGTACGATTTCACAGCTTTCATTCAATTACATGACAAATCTGACACACACACACACACACACACACACACACACACACACACACACACACACACACACACACACACACACACACAGTGTGTAGATTACAGCCACCTGAGAGTAGCAGTAGTGAAAAATACTATGGTAGTAGAAATTCAGTGTTGTGGTCACACCTGTGTTACGTCTGCTGCACCCTCACAAAGCTAGTGCTAGGCTAACAGGAGCCGGTATAGACGTTAAAACAGTTCCATGTGTAACTACAGTTCCATGACTTCCTGATGTTGTGTCTAGGCAATAAAACCAGCCCGTCCTCAGCAGAGAAACGGCCGTACAGGTCGATGATGCAGCAGCTTATTACGACCTATATTTAGTTTTTTTTCTTTCTGCTAGTAGGAGAAGAAGTCAGTTGATGTAGTATGAAGAGTGACCAAGTCTGTATAAGGAAGTGGGGGGGGGGGGTGGGTGGATGAAGTAAACTCAGGACTTCACTCAGGAGACTGAGGTTCGAGTCCCATGTGGAAGAAAGTTAGTTTAAACTAACGTTTTTGTAGATGACTTGCATCACGTGACTTATGTAACTTACTTATTTTAACCCAAAAGGGCAATAAGTTGCTCTTTAAGTCCTGAATTGATTTAATTCTTTAAAATGCTGTATTGATTTCAGACTCTGAAAAGGAATTACTCGTCTTGCATGTGTTTCATTGGCCACACAGGCCGCTGTAATTCACTGTGGACGCGTCTTCAGAGCTGTGGTGTTCAACCAAATAAAGTCCAGACTCCCCTCAGGTTTTTATTTATTTCTCAGCCTTAGCTTAGTAACTTTTGTAAGCTTTTCAAAGCTCTGGCTTTCAGCCCGGGCTAACGCTCACCGGATGAAAGCTGATTTTGAAAAGAATTTAATGGCCATGAAGCTCCGGAAGTTACTGGTGGCCAAGCTCAGGATGTTTTTAATAACAGACTTTGAAAGGTTGTTTCTCACTGGGAGCTGAAGGCGCTTCTTCTAGCTCACATCTTTCACACAGCATGAAGATGCTGCCCTTTTTTTGTTGTTTGTGGCGGCCAATAAAAATCTGGGAAAACTGTGACCAGAAGTCACCAGAAAATAAAAGGAAAAAAATGCAGTTTATTTTCAGAAGATGTGCGTGGCTGCCTGGACTGTCCTGATTTTAAACTTAAATAAAAGGCATGAATGGAGTGAGCTGTAAAATTAATCTTCCAGGAAGCTCATCAGAAAATCTGTCAGTAAACAGTCTAATGTGTTCTGTTTTAATGTTGTATGATGCAGAACATGTTTCTGCTGGGGGCAAGTGGGTCAGATACTGTAGAGAATGAAATGGGAGGGTAATTATTTCCCCCTGTGATAGAAAAGTCATCTGTTCCACAGCTGTTTTCACTTCATTACATCCCTGATGTTCCTAAATGGCCTAGTTGGCACTGGAGTCGCACCAAAAACACATTAAGGCTTCACTCTCTGGACAGCTGCCCCCCCCAAAGATCATGGGTCAGGTCAGAGCCAGAAAAAGACCTTTACAGTGTATGTAGGGCAGTGGGGTGGCATTAAATGGGGTGTACCAGTGTAGAAATTAAACTGATGAATGGGAAGTTTCTTTATCCATCCTCCCGTTTCAGGATGTGAAAGGATCAAAATGTTCACGTTGCCAAAAAGATCACAGTAAACACCATCAGGAGATTCGTCCAACTCCTCCATAAAACTGCGTCGCACCATATCAAACCTCCCAGACGCTGACCCGAGGACCTCGACATGAACAACAGCAGGCTGGCTTTACTTTTTCTGCCTGGATCTGTTCAGGCCTTCGTCAAACGTCGGCTGGTTCCAGCAGCTCAGATGTGAAGACGCGCTGCTGTTCTTTGTGTCACCAAACAAGCGATTTTTTAAAGACGTCCAAGACAAACAGATTAATGGAGTTAATATAATCGGGTGTTAGCAGCAGCTCACCTCAGCTCATCAAGTTGGTTTTCCTGCTCTTTCATTTTCCTCCTCTCTTTATCTGTCGTTCCTCTCTTTCTAGTTTTCAGTTTGTCTTTCCCTTTCTTGCTTTTCTTGTCTTTGTCGTTCTCTCCAGGTGTGCTTCATTAGGCCGTGTCCTAGGTTGCTGCATGTAAAGAGAAAACACAGGCTCATTAACCCCCTCCCTCCCCCTTCACTCCACATTCTGGACTGCTCCTTTTATTAGCCATAATTTTTAGCGAGCCTGGGTCACTGCTGCCTTTTTACAGATAGATGTGGTGTTGTTTTTAATTTGGGGGGGGTACTGCTGCTTGCCATCCGTATGTGCCAAATAATTAGACGGGGAGGTGGGTTTGCTCACTTTCAACAGATAAATCACGGTTGGATGTGTTTTCTTTTTTACGTGGTGCTAATGGGAGTTAATGGGCGGGATGCAGGCTACAGCCCATTAACTGCACACACTGTTATGACTCTACCATATGTGACAATATTAATGTTGATAAAGAGCTTCCAGTGCTTATTATTGCAGGAATAAAACTCGTCAAAAAAACGCGTCACATGATTAGAAAGTTAAAGATGCAAAGTAAAACCCCGCTGCAGACAGCATGTTCTTTCACAGTCAACTAAAAGTTGATAAGTTTACTGAGCTTGTTGCAAATTACCATCAGCGAGTAAAACAACAACACGTGTTGAGCTCGACTGAAGAGCGAAAGAAATATATTATGCTGATGAACTATTGGTTAACGAGAAGCAGTCAGTTAATCAAAACAATTTTGATAATCAACATAAAATGTTCTGCTTTCAGCTTCTCATATGTGAATGTTTGCTGCTTCTCTTTGTGGTGTATATGCTGGTTTAGGGCGTTGATAAAATAAGACGCATGAAGGCGTCACGTTGGGACGTTTGCTTCTTGCAGTTCCTGTTTGATCTTATATTGCTGTGGGATTTGGGGAATGTTGGTCAGACAAAGCAAGACATTTTGAAGATGTCACCTTGTGCTCTGGGGAACTGCGATGGGCATTTTTTGACATTTCACAGACAAAATAAATAATAATGGAGAAAATAATTGGCAGATGACTTTAATAGTACTCATGATTTGTGTCTGTTTTGATCTGACGCGTCTCTCTCATCTTCTGATGAAACAGATTCTCTCAGACGTTACATTTCTGCTACAGTGGTCAGTCTGTGGCAATAAATCAGATTTTCATTCGCCCCTCCGATCAGGAAAGCCTTAAGATAAATATTACCTTAGACTGAACACTGTCGGCTGAGTCACGCATCGTCCTTTTCGTTAACAGATTATATGGGTGTGTGTCTCCTGCAGGAGCTCTTTGTTTTATCTGACCCCACTTCTGGTGAGAAACCAATATGTTTATTTACAGACTCTCTTTCTTTACGTCAGACCTGCATGAGTCACGGTGTTGTGTTCACTCACTGCGAGCTGCTCTGAGGTGGAAATTATTTAAGTTACAGGTTTATTTTGGCTTAGCCTGAAGTAGCGTCTGCAGAAAATGAGACTGATAGGAATGTAACCAGCCTTGCCGTCCAGTTTTTGGGTCCTGGGTTGGTT